GGAGAGGGTGGACATTCCCTTGCGGGTTTTTGGGATAATGCACATTTGATATTAGAACTAAAGCCATCCATGGAAGAAGTAAAGGCCTCAAAGAAAGTGGAAGAACCAGGGGCACCCAAAGGCTCCAGTAGGGGCCCTGAAGGTGGCATAGGCGACTGGGACAGTGACTAAGGCATGCAAGCAGCACACACAGGGGAATGTAAAGAATCCTCACAGGGCAGTCCACAATCCTCACACGCCAGAGATGCAACTCTCTGCCTGCATTCCTCCTCCTCAGGGTGGGTGGAAGTGACATGAGTAAAAGGGCAGCAGCCTAAAATAAAGATGGTGGCCACTTCCTGCACCGCAATACCTGGCCTCAGGTAAGGGTACTGCACCAGAACCGGGTAGTGCAGTCATGGTCACGGCAGACAGACCGTGACCCCAGCACCCCGGTTCATAAGCCATGGCCCCAGTAGCAGCACCACTGGAAGCAACCGTGTTATGCTAGGCTGCAAGTGGCAGCCTCAAGTAGTGGTGCCACCCCTGCGGCCCTAGCTACACTAGACCACCCTAGCCCACATACGTACCACCAGAAGCGGGGTTAGGAGTAGACCGTGCAAGGCACTGCAACCACCACCAGGAACATAGAGGTGATGCCATGTAGGTGTACTTACACATCAGCAGCAGATTTTCTTCCAGGTGATGCAGGGTTCTCTGAAGAAACAGAGGGCCGTCTGCCTGTGTGGGGTTCTATGACTCGGCGGTCGAGACCACCGTTCATATGACTGGCCAGGCTGAGTAGGACTACAAAGATGTACACATATCCAGCGTCTGAGAAACAGATTTCTGGTGCTGAAAGGCCCAAGAAGCACTGACAAGCACTTGGAAGAAACACATGGGCCTGGGTTGTGTCCAAGACTAGGCCTAGATTTGAATGGGAAAATGCCCCATTTGAATGGGAAAATGTTGCACGGGCTTACGTGTCCTCAACACATTTAAAATGGTGCAGTTGCCCCCGGCCTAGGAGACACGCTGCCCACTCCTAAATGCGCAAAGGCAGGAGCCAAGGGTCCAGGTATAACTAACTGGTCTGTGTGTGTGGGGGGGATTAGGGGAACGCTAAGTTCCTGTAGGGGCCAAGCCCCACTCACTACCTCATGGTCTTGAAGATCTATCTCATTGGATCAATTTCAAAACTCCCCGCTTTGCCCACTTTGGAAGGGCATACCCTTTCCTCCTCCAGGGAGTCTTAAGGGACTGGGTCACACCAGTGCATGTATGCCACTGCCCCGGACCTGTATAGCACCCTTTGGCAGACTGTATCTTGTTGCACTGCTGTAACCAAGGGTTAGCAGGGTCCAGTTCCCAAATCAACATTACAGGCCAGCCCTGCATCTTATACAATGGCAGGGTATGGGCCCTCAATCCAGATGCTGTGATTCTGCCTCACTGGCCTGTTTGCAGCTAGGTTTGAGGTAAGCATCCTCTTCAGGTAGGAAGTAGATGTACAAATAGACCAGAAACCTGCTCTTAGTAGAGAGAGTTCACCCTTTACCTAAGGACACTAACAACAAACTGAGCATTGCTGAGAGTGGGAAGGGTTACAATATATGGGTGTTCCACAGTTCTGTCCGCCAGTGTCCAATCATCTGAAGGTAGCTGCATACAACCCAGGGTCATTAATTGGAGGAGTCTGTGCCCTGTGCCATACGATTAAGAAATATAGTTTTCTGGCAGTGCCCGAAAGTCGCTAAGTATTGGGACCGTGTGTTCCGCATACTTTCATCCTTATTTCAACGAACCATGAGTAAAGATCCCACTTTCGCCCTCCTTAATTGCAAACCGGTGGGTCTCCCTGTATCGGCTTTTAAATTGAGCCTCCATGTCCTAACAGCGGCTATATGAGAAATAGCAAAATCTTGGCTATCCAATACACTTAGCATTTCTAACCTCAAACGACATGTGAGCTGGACAATGTCACATGAGAAGCGGACAGCACAAGTGGAAAACACCCTCCCAAATATCATCATCTGTACTACTGTTAACGAATGCGTCGGATCCTGGAATACCTATTCTAACTACCACACCTAAACACCAAACACCCCTTGTAATTATACTCTGCACCATTACCATTAAGCTCTCTCTAACATAGCCTGGACTCTCACAGGATAAGAAACCCACTGGTGACACATTCCCTGTATCATTGAGAAGTGCGTAGTCTGACGCTTAAATTCTCTACTGGTTATTCTGCCACGGTAGCCATTCCTATATTCCAGGATCAGATCCATGTATGTAATATTGTAAACTGCATTGAAGCACTGTGCATATTACATGTTTCACCTTGTCACTACTTTACTATTTGCCTCAATAAAACATTTTTACTTGAAAATAAATATATTTTTCTCTGGCGCGTCAACACTAGGAATCTTTTTCTTTCATGTGAGCAAACATAATCCACATAAATGCTGCATCAGATTAAAAATAATCACACACAATAGCAACACACCAGCGGACAGGTGGCATGCAGACCGACTGTGTACACAATCGGCACACTTACTGCCAGCACACACGGCCAGCACACAGATAGTCAGAACAGCAAACATTCAAAGCACACACAATCACACCACACAAATATTCAATACCACTTATTACTATTGTGGCAATTACCTTTTCTTATCTTAATATAGCACCAAACTTTCTGCAAATAATGCATTGATATACAGTATGCATTTGTGAGAGGTTTCCCTGTTGTATGTTTGCTAGGTTAATGGCTAGGATCTAAATTAAATATGGTGGCATAAAAATGGGATGTCTCAAGATGTCTTGCCTAACATGAGAGATGTTTGCATAGGCACAAATAATTTAGCACAGGGCTACAGAAAACATCAGTTTGGCAGGCAGACTTGTGTAAGCACATCTAAAGCCACAGATTTAACAGTTTCTCAAAAGAAAGATCAAATTAGAAATGTTCAATAAATGTTATCAAATTACTAATCAAACATATCGATGTTGTTTTCTGCAGTGCTTTCATTTACATTCTACCTACTAGCACATGTGCAGTGTATGCTATGTTTAAGGTATGGTTTTAACTGTGACAGTTGCCAGTGTGCTTATGTCAGCACTCACCTAAACTTTCCAACCCCTAAATTGCTGGGGTCATAGCTGATCACATGTGTACCACCATGGCAACTGTAGATCTAAATAGAGGCTAAAGCTGGCCATACACCTTACAATTATCTGCAGATTTTCTGTTGCCAAAAGCATTGCCTATACAAGCATCGCCTACACCCAAAATTGTCCATAGGCGATGCTTTAAAAGCTTTTACTGCTCATCAGTTTAGTTTTAATAGTGATTAACCACTTGCCGTCCGCCCATTGTAAAAAAACGGACGGACGGCACTGCAGCATTGGTGGGTTGCCGTCTCCAGAAGCCCTAAAATTATTGCCCTCACTCTGAATTTTGCGGCGATATGTAACATGTGTGGCGCAATGGCCAGTTTCACATGTAGGCGCACCCGATGCATGTTTGTGTGTGTGTATGTGGGGGCAGGGGACTTGCATTTTTTTTTAAATATACATTTTTTTTTGGTAACTTTATTTTTGTAAAAATTTTTTTTCACTTAACTTTATTGCGATCACATAGGGGGATAAGAATCCCCCTATGTGATAGCCAATTTACACAGACAGGTCCCCTTTATAGAGACATCAGGGGTCTCTAGGACCCCTAATGTCACCTAGGGACCCCCAAAGAAGCTGATGAAGCAGAGATCTGCTTCACCAGCTTCACTCCAGCTACAGAGGCTGGAGAACAACAGCTGAATGCGGAAGTGATGTAAAATGCATCACTCCTGCAGTCAGAGGAGATCAGAGGGAGATCAAGTGATGATCTCCGGTTACAGAGCCGCCCTGCATGTGCCGAGCCCTCACTGGACACACCGGGGATCGGCAGCGGTGGAGGGGGGCGCACACCCACACGCATTATACAACCGATTCAGCGAGTCTACAGCCACGGGACCGGTTGTATGTAAACAGCCATCGAAGAAGTTCCCGGCCGTTTAATTACAACGGCCGTCCGAGAAGCTACGAGTCCGGCTATGACGTCCTCTCGTCAAAGACGAGAGGACGAGTGAATTAGATAGATTATATATATATATATATATATCTCATGCAGATTGTCTATTCTATAATAATCCCAGTCAAAACATTTAGGCATATAAAAGCTTTTTTCGCGTGGTGATAGAAAGACCTGAGGGAAGTTTATGCACCTATGACAGAATAGGGTGCAGTGTCCTTGGAGAAGGATCAAGTACAACAAGGCTACCTTATCTGTGATGGGTACAGATGGTCCAGGTGCATATCAGAAAATCAGTTAAGGGAGTGGAGTAGAGTGTTTTTACCTGTAGTGGGTATATAGACAATGGAGCTGGTTTGATCTTGAGTCACATCCACACAAGCGCAATTTGACCTATGTAATGCAGTGAGGTCTGAGGATCTGGCAAGTGCTTTCATGCGATATTTGTGTGAAGGTTATAATCAAGATGTTTGGGTATCAAAATAGATGAGTTGACAATATACAAGATTTTATAACATTGTGTGATAATTAATGAGGACTGTCATCTTAGTGATGGGAATATTTATAGACAACGGTTAATTACAGGACTGTATAGTGCCTTGTTTATGCTAGCAGCTGTTAAGGTATATTAGTTAGCATGGACTGTGAGATAAATATATGATAGGGTTATATTTAAATGATTGCTTTGTTTCCTGCAGGCGGACTGTAGTGGGAGGACCAGCTGAAAACCTCCAACAGCTCTACTAATCTGCACAAGCTGTGTGCAGGGCAGCACAGTCATGTCACTGCTGGGTAATAACTTGGTTTGCAAAGGCATTTGGTGGCTATAAGAAACAAGAGAGGCTGTGATAGTTTTACAGCCAACAGTAGCTTGTGAAAGCAACAAAAACATCTGGGCTAACAGCAAGCAACTGTTGGATAATAAATCCTGCATTATATTTTTTACCTTTAACTCCTCCTCCAGTTCAACAGCTTTTCTCTCCATTGCTCTTCTTTCCTAAAAATGGAGATAAGCAAAGTAATAGACGGCATATATTTGACTACATAGTACATACCGACAAATGAGACCAGATAGAAGGAAATAACTAATTTACAGGAGTTATGGTTGTATATTAATGAAGTGCAAAATAAACTTTAATGGCAACAGTTTTTCAACTTTAGTTGTCATCCAAAGATGTTAACTGTTTTGGTGGCTGACTCAGCCATAGCAGAATTATAAATACAATGCAATTTGAATTATCTAAATGGTTGTATTTTTCCTCCATTATATCCTCCATAAATCTGGTGAGAAATAACATTCACTAGTGACCACTCTGAAATAACAGTTTAGTGGAATTTTTATATTACCCTATACACTTCATGTTGTTATTAGCTAGCATTTTCAATGTTATTAATATTATGTAATAGTTTAAGTTACATAGTTTAATAGTTCTATAGGTTAAGTAGTGCTATACAGACACATACAGATAAACTCAAGATGAACCCTAAGGCTGGGTTCACACCTGAGTGTATTTTTTCTGCTCGTTTTTCCGTTCAGTGAAACGCGCGTTTCACTGGCGGTAGGATTTTTTTTTTGCTTTTTTCCTTATTTTCTCTTTTTTTTCCATTTTCAAACCCCCTTCACACTCGGGAATAACGATGGAAACACGCAGAAAAACGCCCCAAAGAAGCTCCTGTTCTTCTTTGGGCGTAGGGCGTTTTTCAGCGCGTTCCTACGCACTGTAAAACGCCCAGGTGGGAACCATGCCCATAGGCAATTATTAGTTTGCACATGTTGAGCGTTTTAGAGTGCGTAGGAACACGCTGTAAAACGCCCAGGTGTGAACCAGGCCTTAGAGCATACAAGACACGTGTATCCATGTGCTGGGATGGAATTCATATAGAAGGGTCTAAAACAACTTAGGAGACATAATGTCTCAGGAACTGTCCCAGATGCAGAATGCAGATTCTGCTTGGTTCAATCCTTCCTTGCCATTCCTCTTCAGTGTGTAGACAATTTTTAACATGTACAATAGAGATCACATTTTATTGTTGCCAGGTACAATCCCTACATTGTTTGTGCTCTTATAAATCAACCACACCAATGCCTTACATGTCAAGAACCTAAAATATACTGTACATGAGAAATAAAATTAGGAAGGCAGTATAATAGTAGCTAATGAAGTCCCTATATTGATACATAAAGAGATCTGAAAAGCATGCCTGGTTCTCCCAGACTGCATGAAGTACCTTATAGATGTTTCACAAATACATTAACAATAAAAAAAAGAAAAAACTCTAATTGAAGCGACAAATACGTACAAATCTTTCTAACTCCAGTAAGGCAGGTCGCTCTGCATGCTGCTCTTGTCTCTGGAAAAGAGAATTGTATTGGTTTGTAACAGTAAATGATAAAATCAGCTTTACAACAAAAATATTAAAGGGCAACTCTGGGAAACCAGCAAAATCAAGCAGTGAAACGCTAATAATATCCAGAAAAAAACGGAGCTTTGTTTTACCTGTAAAGTCCCTTTCATGGAGTACATCACAGGACATGGAGTTAATTATGGAATAGATGGGTTATGCAACTACCTTCAGGTAACCGACCACTGAAAAGTCAATAAAAGCTGAAGGACAGCCCTGTATTCCTCAGTTTTGTAGCAAGCAACAGAGTGAATCACAAAATACAGAGGGGAGTATCTTGTGATGTACTCCAAGAAATGTATTTTACAGTTAGGATAAAAATCCTGATTTCACATTACAGAACATGGAGAGTTAAAGGAGAACTATGAGGCGAGTGAAAATCACTCATCCTCATAGTTTGAGCCAACGTGTAACAATGAAACTGTCACACGTCGGCTCAATAGATCAGGAAGTGAGCGAAAGCTTATCGTCGCTCGCTCACTTCTCGATCATGTTTCTCCAGAGACGGCTCCCTGCAGGGATTCCCCCCTCCCTACTCCGATCCTCCAGTGCTGACTGGAGGAACGGACGGATTAGGGGGCGGGTACAGCTGGCTCTGCCTATGGATAGGCAGAGCCCGCTGTCACTCACGCGGCTTGGGGGAATCTCCCCCGTAATGTCGGGATCCTTCCCGCCTGCGGTGATCTCAGTATACCGCAAGCTATAGTTCGCGATATACTGAGCTTTGGGTCACGGAACTACGCTAGTATATGTCCTCCCGTGACCCTTAATAGAACTATGGGGAAAAACACTTACCTCATAGTTCCCTTTTAAATACCCAAGAAACAACAACGCCAACAAAAAACAGAGAACTAGAAACAGAGGCATGCCCGCATTAAAGACCTGCTTGAAGAAACACGTGTAAACCTTACAGATTTGGGTAACAGAATCCTAATGATAATAGTCCGAAACAGCACTAACACTCCTAGTGGTGTGAGCAGTGACAGGAAACCTAGGAACGTTTCTCTTCAGCTCATAGGCCTGAGAGATGGTTTGGTTGCCCCATATGGGAACCCTCAGGGATGAATAAAAGCCTGAAAAAAGAACTGAAGCCATTGCAGAGAGGTAAACTATCGCTGCCCAAACAGTGAAGGAAAATTTCCATATGATGGTTCACTGCAGGACATGAGGATGGCAAAAAAAAAATCCTGTTAAGGTGGATGGCAGAGAAAAGCTTACGCTTCAGCACAACCCTACACTTAGGAATGACCAGAAAAGGCTCTTTGCACATCAAGACTGCTAATTCAAAAGCACTCTTAGCAGAGGTAAGGATGGCGAGAAAGGTCACCTTTAGATTAAAGCTCTGAGCAGTGGCTTCTGAAGGGCTAACGGAACAAGATGCATGTCCCACAGAGTTACCAGAGCATGTACAAGGAGAACAGCATAGGACACCACCTGCACAAAGGCCTTCTGAAAGAACTGCCAAGGCAGAAATCTGAACCTTGATGGTATTCAAGGGTAAACACTAGTACAAGCCAAACAGGAGGAAGGATAAAATGTGTCCTACGCACCACTACCTAGGATGGAACTTCCTGGCCTTAAGGAGCAAAGGTATGAAAGCATCAAAAAAAACATTGGGCCCTCGTGACTTGGGCTTCAACAGCTATGCCAATAAAGCCAGCAACAAAAAACAGAGTGGAATACCCATCGTTGTGACAATAGGTCTGGATGTTGTAGAAGCTTATACCCACAGAGTTTGACTAAATCCAAGTAAGTCAGGCCTCCTGGGCCATTTAAGAGCAATAGGGATCACCGAAACACCCCCCATCTCGATCCTGTGAAAGAGGCGAGAGCTTCTGATGAAGGTAACATAGTAGGTAAGGATGAATAAAGACACAGGTCCGTCTAGTTTAGGGGCGCCCACAATTTTTCATATGGAATTCTACTTTTCAAATGACGAGCTCAATGAGATCTACCAGTAAAAAAAAACCCTTGCAAAATCTGAGATTAAACTACCTCTCTTCTAACCTCTTGTTGTGTCCTCGTGTCATCAATAGAGTTCTCTGTGTAAACATTCTACATTGTTCAATATTAAATCACATTTGCCATTTTGTAGCGCATGCCTCAATTTTACCTAGATCTTGCTGAAGTGAATTTATGTCTTCTTGAGAATTTACTGCCCTACACAGTTTAGTATCATACACAAACACAGAGAGTCTACTATTTATTCCAATCTCTATGTTGTTTATGAATAAGAGAAACCGGATTGGTCCCAGGACCGAAACCCAAGGCACCTCACTCACAACTTTTTCTCAAATTGGAAAATTAACCGTTTATTACTACCCTCTGGTCCAATTTGTGCAGTCAGTTTTCCACCGACGTACATATAATTTCATCCAAACTGATAAGATCTTAGGTTTATGAATTAAACATTTGTGGGGTACTGTATCAAATGCTTTAGCAAAGTCAAAATACAACATGTCTACTGGAATGGTCCTTCATGAAGCCATGTTGATTGCTACTTATTATACCATTTTCATAGGCAACTTCCTGCACATAGTCCCTTATTATATCAAATATTTAACACCCTATTCATGTTAAGCTGACTGGCCTATAGTTACCAAGTGTACTTACCAAGTGCTCCCTTTTTGTATATTGGTACCACATTTGCTTTACGCCATCAGCTGGTACCATATCAATATTAAAGTGTCCATAAAGATTATGAACAGTGGTCTGACTATGACCTTTTTAAGTTCCCTGAGCACCCGCGGATGTAACCCACCCGGTCCTGAAGATACGTTTACATTTAATCTATCCAGACTCTTAACTCTGATCTCTGACAGCCATTGAAATACGTTAAATCTGTTGTTACTAGGGCTGATGCTTTGTTTAATAACCTCGTCTAACTATTCTATAAAAACAGAGGCAAAGAATGCGTTTAACATATTGGCTTTTGTGTTTTATGAGGCCTACATGTTCTGTCCTTACCCTCTTACTATTTATATATTTAAATAATTTCTTGGTGTTTGTTTTGCTTTCTGTTATGTGTTCTTCGTTTTCTTTTTTTTTTGTAGCCCTGATAGCTCTCATGCATCTTTTATTGCATTCCTTGTAGTATTTGAATGCCAATGGTGACCCTTTTTTTGAAGTCCATATCCATGTTCTTTATATGTTGTTTTACTTTGCTAGCTAACCAACCTGGTTTATCTTTTGATGTTTTGAATTTGTTGGTAAATGGAATGCAATGGCAAATTTTGCGATTTAAAATTTCCTCAGAGCATTTCCACTTGTCCTCAGTGTTCATTTTCAAGAAGATTTGGTCCCAATTAGTCACATAGCAGGTATCTCAGCATATTAAAGTTAGCCTTTTTAAAATTAAGTGTTATTGTCATAAAAACTTGTCTGTTTCCTGGCGTTTACTGTGAACGTTATCATTCTATGATCACTGTTCCCTAGTTTGTCCTCATCTGTAATCAGCTCTGTGTTGTTTGTAATTAATAAATCCAACAGAGCACTTTTTCTAGTTGGGGTTTCCACCATCTGTCCCATAAAATTATCTCACAGTGTGTTCAAGAAGTGACGGGCCTTACTTGAGTGTGCGGTTTCATTTGCCCAATCAATATCAGGAAAGTCCCCCCCTAATTATGATATTGCCTTGCATCCCTGTTTTTTCTATCTGTAAAAATAGTTGAAACTCCTCCTCCTCCCTTATATTCAGGGGCCCATAGCATATTCCCACCAATAATTTACCTTTTTTTCCCATTCATTTTCATCTCCAACCATAAATATTCTGCACTGTCCCCAATCTCAGCAGCTACAGTATGTTGTCACACACATTCACAACCAGATCATTCCTGACATATAGTCATACTCCTCCCCCTCTTTTTCCTTCCCATGTATTTCAAGTTTTTGGTAGTGCATATAGTTTTCTTGTTGCTCACACTCTGGCTGCTATTGCATAGATTAAAACCCCCAGATTCTAGTTTTAAAAGGTCCTCAAACCTTTTTACTATTTTCTCCCACAGCAGGATTGCATCCTCCCCATTTAGGTGCAGTCCATCCCTACTGTAGAGTCAGTAGCTGAATGAAAAGTCAACCTAGTTCTCAAAGAACTCAAACCCTTCCTTTCTTCACCAGTTTTTCAGTCACTTGTTCAGATCTCTTCACTCCCGCTGCCTCTCTTGTGTGGCTCCTGGTAAAGGAAGTATTTCAGAGAATACCTTGGAAGTCCTTTATTTAGTGTCTCGCATAAATCCTTGAAATCTTCCTTTAGGCACTCGATCTTCCCCTGACTTCGTCATTGGTACCAACTTGTACCATGATAGCTGGGTCTGCTAAGCAAAATACTGTTCGGCAATCACGTTCTTTATGACAGATTACCCTGTCTGTCCTTTTAATTATAGAATCCCCTACCACTAGGATCTGTCCACCTCGAGCCCACGCCCCCCTCTATAGTGGAGCAGTTACTCCCCGGGCAGCTAGAGGAGATATCCTGCTCCAGCCATGCTACACCTGAGCGGATATCTCCAACCTCATGCAAAAGGGCATATGTATTGGGGTGACACAGCTCAGAACTAGCCTCTCTGATGTTTTTCCCCCTATCCCGCCTACTGTTTTCCAGCTATTCAACTCCAGGTTCCTGCTTCTCCATATTACCACCTTCATCTATGCTGGCCCTGGCCAGTACCTGATGGGAAACAGAGTTGCACCTGCACTGAATTGCATAAACACCTGTGGAGGTCATGTCACTGATTTATGGGAATGTCCAGATCGACTTATTTATTTACCCCATCAATTGATGTTATCTCACAGATTATCACAGTAAAGCTGTCCCACAAATTTTTGCTGATTATCACAATAAAACAATCCAATAATTCTCATTGATTATTACTCTAAAGCAGTTCCACAATTATCACCGATTATTACTCTAAAGCAGCTACACAAATTCAC